GTTGATAACACCGGATTTTGACCATTTTTATGGATCACTTTAATATCTTTTACAGGTGTTTTTACTCCATTTTCAAAGGTTTTCAAAGGATTTTTATGTTTCCGGATTTTAAAAGACTTTTCAGGTAATTTGGGATAAAGAGGCACAAAATGGAACAAAAAGACTCTTTTGGATAAATGCAGACCGTCAGAACTCTCATAGAGAGACGAAGACCTTCTCACCGTCTGATCACCCTCAAAATTGGACAACTTATAGAAGAATCAACCAGCTTTCAAATGCACTTGGTTTGGAGACATTCCAACGGTTGGATCTCAAGATATTCCATTAGCCCCGGAGCCACTCGAAGACGGCCAGCAAGTCACGCGACCGCGGCCAACAAGTCACGCGACCGCGGCTAACAACCTATTTCCTGCGGTCAGAAGCTTCCCGACCGCGGCTTACTAGCCAATCCCCGCGGTCACATCACTCCCGACCGCGGCCATCAAGCTCCGAACTAAAACCCATATATCTGAAGCCCAAAGTCAAACTCAGCCTCAATTCCGGAACCCTAGAGACCATGGAGTATTGGACACTATAAATACATGTCATTTAGGTCGTTTTTAGGGAGAACCATTCATACTTTACAGAAACCCTTTTCCTTTAGCCGTTTTTATGAGATTTTTGTAGAAGATTGTTCAAGTCCGAGTTCTTCAATAGAGAAGCTTTCTTTATCTCTTTTCTTTACTGTTTTTCTTTACTTTTATTAAAACCGATGATGATGTCGACCTCAGCCATGTCTGAGTAGATCCCGAGTTGGGCTTAGGGTTCCCGAAAGGGGCTCTCATAATCGATTAAGACATCTAGGTTTATAGATCTGGGATTTCGACCTGTTCTCTGTTTATTCTTGTTCTTATTGCATGTATGCTTGATTGATCACCTAGTATCTGATCTAGATAGTTAGTGTTGTGAAAGTTTTCATTAAGTATCAGCCCTAGAATGAAACAGGCGATTTGTCTGTAGGAGTGGAAACCTACCTGCGGCGAGATCGTGAGTATTGACGAGTCTTTTGCAGCTCTTGCGTTCTCTCCCTTCCAGGGCCAGAGTGGAAACCTACTGGTCAGGATTGCGAGAAACAGTTGGTTATGATCACAACAGTGACGTAGTCATACCGCCGTACTCTAGCCCTAGAACCACCTATATATCGATATCCGTCAATCCCAATCTATATACCCTAGTGTTAAAACCGATTATGATCCCTTAGAGTTCCCAAAAGCTCAGCGTTTTTAGCCATAGTTTACAATCCCATCGATTTTTATTTGCTTACTTAAACCTGCATTTCAATTCCATTAGTTCGATATTTTACTTGCTTTACTAGTCTTTCATTCGATATTTTACTTGCTTTATTAGCCTTTCATTCGATTTCTTTACTTGCTTTCTAGGATAGATTTATTTACTTTCTCTTATTTTAGTTTAATTCGTGACAAACAACCAACATTTAAAAACCAATCTAGTCTAGACATAAAGTTAAAAACCGTAGAAGAATACCAGGCACACAAATCTCTGTGGATTTGATCCCTAAATACTACAACTGATTAGCTGTGCACTTGCGGCTTTCATTTGTTTTGTTAAGGGTAAAACTTGTTCCCTCACGCAGTTGACACGACATCAGCTTTAAATCTCTCTCAAATGGTGATAAATGCTGATCAATTTCATGATCCTGAAGGCTTTAACTCTTGCAAGCACGAGCACAAAATCATTGTATCAGAGTGTAGATAAACAATCCATTTCCTAGCTTTTGTCACTTTGTCTTCTCGGTTCTTTTCTTTCTCAAAAGTGTAGTCGCAGAACTATGGTATCAGTACATAGGTAAACAATTCTTTTGGTAGCTTGGAAACTTCTAGCTTTCTAAAGGTCTCTCTAATTACTTCCAATATGTCTCCTACATGAAAGACAATACCCTTCTCCTCCCTCTTCTCTTTTGGATCTGTCTTGACCTTTGCTCTGGTCTTGCTAATACCAGCCTCAAACACAACAGGTTCATCGCTCAATCTGTAATGATTTCACCAAGTATTATTGCTCAAGCTGTAAATTGACCTTTAATAGCACTAATCAAACTATGTAGATTGGAGTTCAGACACTGAAGAGATAAAGAGATTGCGCTCTGTTTTATCTTCTTATCTCATGATTGAAAGCTTTTGTTTTTGTCTAGTTGGATTCTAAATGGCTAAGATCACAGTGACACCAACGATTACCCTTTCAGAGTTTGTTCTCTTTAAAAAAAAAACCCATATTCCCCACAAAGATCTTGCTAGTTTATTGTGAGATTTCACCTGGTCAATTAAGAACTCTCATGACATGTTTTTTTTGTTCTAACCTTTTTTAGAGTTTTTTTCTTTCATAGGTTGTGGCATTAGCAGTAGTATCCCTAGGTGTGGCCATTGCGAGAGTAACTGATTTTGAACTCAATTTTTTGGTGCATTGTTTGCTCCTGATTGGATTAAACAAGTGCCATCAATCAACTCCTCTGCTCTAATCTTCAACAATAATCTAATTGGACTGCTCTAGCGTAAGAATCTCTCTCTCTTTCTTTTACCTGAGGCTTAAGCAATATAAGACTCTTAGGAAAAAACACTTTTTAGTGAATGAAGATTGATGTGGAACATGAAAGTTTGTATTAAGAAGTGTTGGCTCCATGCCATGGCTTGACCCGCAAAACCTTTCACCTAGTGATTAAACCCGCAAAACAACACGACGAATTAGACAAACTCCACGAACCTAAATAATTACATTTCTTTTTACTCACTTAATCAACTCAAAGACCCACACCAATCACACAGAATAAAACACGTTAGTTTGAATCAATTTTGAGCGAAAGAAAAAATACAAGATATCGTCAATACAAAGAGGTGAAACGAATCATTATAAAATATACAAATCAGAAACAAAAGATACGAACTGGGTACATCACAAAAGGAATTTAGGTAGTAATTACGTTTTGATTTCTAAACAAAAGAACCACAACATGTCCAAATACATATTAGATTGTTTGTTTATGAGCCACACACTTGGCGAGATACAAAACATCCACACGACGAAGTGGTGTATCGATCAAACACTGAACGAAACAATAAATGAAGCTGACGAAACAAAATATACGAATTGGGATCAAAAGAACTTTAGAAACTAATCATGTGCCGTTCTAAAAAAACAAAAGAGCTTGATGTTTTCAGACGCTATAGCTCGTCCAAACGACATGATACAAAAATGTTCACACGACAAAATAATGTATCAAGCATAAACAAAACAAAACATACGAAAACAATCATATGCAAATTCTTAATAAAATAATTAATTGATGAACAACCAAAAAGGGAAAGAAGCGCTAGATCTAAAAGAACACCAATGTTATATTTAACAAAATAAGATCTATCTATCTATATATATAAAGTAGAGTGTTTCAAAGTTAGTAATTCGCGACATCCTGACACGTCTCTAAGATAAACGATTAGATTTTGACACGTGGTGAAGAAAGTTGATATTAGATTCCGATATGTAATATTAACAATAAATGGAAAAAAATTGTAATTGATTCCGAATCCTAAAAGGTATAGTTATCAAATATATAAAGAAAATAGAAAATACAATTACAATAAAAGCCAAAGGTAATAAAAAAAAAACTATAACCTATTCCTAACCTTAGTTATAAAAAGTAATGTTACTTATATAAAAATAAAAAATAGAAAAATTAAATTTTATTCTAAAATAAAAAAGTTAATAAAAAATAAAAATAATTTAGTTTTCACATTTAGATGAACAAGATTAAACAATGAATTACTAATTTAAAAAAAGAAAAAATATAATTTTTCAATTCTACATAAAAGAGTTTTTAGTTTTTGTTTTTTCACCGGCTATAAAATAATTAACTCTAAACTCCTATATATGTCGGTCCTTATCTCGTATGTATATAGCCAGATGGACACATTAGATTTTTAGTTAAAACCGACTTGGGAAAAGTTTTCGAAATCGCTGGTGCATAGCAGATAATTCGGGCTTATGCAATCCATTTAGAGCGAATAAATCCATGTCACAGGTATTAACATGTGGAATTAATGATCAACCAATGAGAACTAATTAAAACATCACATAATATTTTTTATTAATGACATGTATGACAATCATTGTGGAAACGACACATAAGATTTTTGACATTGCAAATAATAGTATAGATAACAATTCTTTTTTTTTTTTTCACAACAAATCTAGAATATTTTAGTAATAAGAAAAAAAGGTTTTACCAAAAAAGAAAAAAGAAAAAAAAAGGTTGCATTTATGTTTTCCCTTTCCTTGCAGGTCTTAAAAACCCAATATTTTTTTTTCTTTCTATTTAGCATATTTTGGTTCTGAGTATAAGAAATGAAAGAAATGGTAGATGCATGAACCTTTTGACCCGACTGATATCCAATATCACTTAAATAGCTAAGTTAGAGTTTTTATTTTAAAAATTTGGGATTTTCTATAATTGATACATCGATATCATTCACATTCAGTAACAGCACCATCACTTCCAGGTCATTTTAGATAATATTTTATTTACAGTACACGAATATAAAATAACGAAAATAAAGTTTTGTTCTTGTATTTCATTTTCACGAATAAACAAAACTTACAAGTAAGAAAATGCACAAAAACATCAAATAATATGAAAACCGAATAAATTATCATCTTATTTGTGTGTTTAATTTTTTGAGTAGCTTATTGAAATTATTACAGATACAAGTTCTTAATTTCTTATTTACTTTCAAAATTTCTTAGGTTAAGATTATTTGATCTATTTACTAGTAATGGAGGAATATAGTGTAATTAGTTGCAAATGTCCAAACAAAAACAAACTAGTGGACACTTGTAAAAGAGATGACTATAAATATTAATTGCTTTCCGTTTCTGCTCTTAATTACTCTAATTTTACATCTTCACGCAATTTGTTCTTATTTTCTATATAAACTAAAACCAAAAAAGCAACCCACCATCGGTAATTTCAAGGTATTATATACACACACAATTAAACACACACACACAAAAATATCTTTTTCGTTCAGCGTTATTCTAAGGGATCGTAGAGAATGCAGCAGATCAATGAGATGGAAGAAAAGTTTGAAGATTGGAGAGGAAGAGAGGCAATCCCCGATAAACATGGTGGGATTAAAGCTGCTTCCATTGCTTGTGGTAAATTGCTAAAATCCAATAAAAAAAACCTTTAAAAATTGAGACTTTTTCATTATTTTTAAATTTTAATAGATATGGTGTGTGACTGTGTGCTAATGTAGTTGTGGAGATGATGGAGAATATGGTGTTCTTAGCATATTCAACCAACTTCATCACATACTTTAAGAAATCAATGCATTACTCGTCAGCCGAAGCATCAAACATGGTGACCAATTTCACAGGAACATCGTTTTTGCTCACTATCTTTGGTGGTTTTATCGCCGACTCTTTTCTCACTCGCTTCACCGCTTTCGTCCTCTTTTGTTCGATTGAACTCCTGGTAAATTAAAAATACTCCATCAAATCATTCAAAAACAGTATGAAAAAAATATATATCAAAGTTTACTATCCTTTAAATAGGGCTTGATCTTGTTGACGCTCCAAGCTCATAACCCTAACTTACAACCTCATGGAGATAACACTCCTTCGACACTTCAATCAGCGGTTCTATTCACCGGACTTTACGCGGTAGCTACTGGTGTTGGAGGTGTCAAGGCCTCGTTGCCTGCTCACGGAGGTGACCAGCTTGATAGTCGAAAGCAGAGTCTGATCTCAGGATTCTTCAATTGGTATTACTTCTGTATCTGCTTTGGAGGTTTATTGGCTGTAACCATTATGGTTTGGATCGAGGAGAACAAAGGATGGAGCTCTAGCTTCGATATCACAACCGTGGTTTTAGCCTCTGCGCTCGTTATTTTCGCTACGGGATTCCCGATGTATCGGTTCAAGCGTCCAACAGGAAGCCCTTTGACAAGAATTGTGAATGTGTTAGTTTCTGTCGCAAGAAACCGAAATAGGTTTGTAACGGATGCAGAGATGACGCAGAGTCATAACTCTACCGACAAAACCATTCATTACAACAAGTTCAAGTAATTATTCTAAACACTTTATTTTATTTTTTTGGCACTAAACTAACATAACTAAGCTTTTGTCTCCCTCTCTCTTATAACAACACTTAACATGTTAGGAATTCATTTCTCTGTTTCTTTTATTGTCATTTAAACTTTACATTTCAGGTTTTTGAATAAAGCGAAGCTCAACAAGAAGATCTCAGCAACAGAAATTGAAGAAACAAGAACGTTTCTAGCTCTCCAACCAATTTTTGCGAGCACTATTGTCATGAACTGTTGCTTAGCACAACTATCGACCTTCTCGATACAACAAGGCATGCTGATGAATAGAAAACTCTCGCATTCCTTCGAGGTCCCTGCCGCTTCCCTCCACGCCATTGCTCTCTTGTTTATGCTCTCTTCTATAGCTTTCTACGAACTCTTTGAAAAAAAGATCTCATTAAGCAACATGAACGAAAGGTCAGCGAGCTTCAATTTGAAACGCATAGGAGCTGGCTTAGCTCTTACCTCTCTTTCAATGGCAATTGCAGCTATTGTAGAGGTCAAGAGAAAACATGAAGCGGTACACAACAACTTAAGAATCTCTGTGTTCTGGTTAGAGATTCAGTATGTTTTGTTGAGTTTCTCGGATTTGTTGACTCTTGGAGGAATGTTGGAGTTCTTCTATAGAGAATCTCCGGCGAGTATGAGGAGCATCAGCACGGCGTTAGGGTGGTGCTCCACCGCGTTGGGTTTCTTTCTCAGCACGGTTCTTGTTGATGTCATTAAGTCGGGGACGGGATGGCTCAGCGGAAAAGATCTTAATGAGTCAAGGCTCGAACTGTTTTATGTGGTCTTGTGTGTTCTTAACACTCTTAATCTTTTTAATTATATTTTCTGGGCGAAAAGATTTTAAGCAAAAAGAACCAAATTGTGTTTAGTTGTATTATGTAAAACTCATTTTTATTTTACTATTAGCTTTGGCATCATAGCTTTTAGTGAAGATGCTATGCATGTATTGTGTGTGCTGGTTATGTAGTGGAAGTCCAAATCAAAATGTTTCTTGTGGTGGTTCACAATTTCCCAATGTAGTTGAGATGTCATTGTAATAATGAGACAAATGGTAACCATCGCATTTAAGTTTCATAATTTGTGATTCTACCCTAATTATGAAAGTGCAAAAACAACTTTTTCTAGCTGAGTGCGACTAGCCTAACTTTGTCATTTGGTTAAACTATATTAAATCCGAGTAATATTTTACCGTAAATTAATTCCTCAAATCCAGCTTGGTTTAATTCGGTTTTGTTTAAATCAGTTTGATTTCTGGTAAGCCGGATTATTATCAAATTAAATAAACTTTTAGATGAAACCTCTATATATGATCTTTTTGACAACCACAAATATGTCGTGTAGATTTTAATGGAAATTTATTTGCATAGTAAGGAATAAGGATGTTGATTTTATTAAAAATAATAATAATGTAACATTAGGATAATTATCGTGTAAAGTATCTTCGATACTATAAAAGAGTTTGTTTGTCTGTAAATCGATTTGGTTTGAATATTTTTCATCTTTGTGAATATTATTTCACTCTAATACAATTTTCGAAAGTGATTTGTTCTTAATATAAATTAGGATACTGGCCCGCACGCATGTGCAAGCTTGAATGTTTTTATAAATTTTAATTGTATTGAGTATATTGTTAAGTTTATTGAGTCGAATTTTATAAAATTGATAATTGACAGTGTGTGTGGGTACAGTATTACCACATTTAGGCCAAATAGTATGTTATTAGTTCGAGAATTGGATTGTGTCTTACAATTGGCTATACTTTTTTAGATGTAAATATAAACTAATAAGTGATGTATAACTGATTAAGTAATTATAATTAGGTATGCATAATGAATAAAGTGTAGATGAAGAATACATGTAATGAATACATACATTAATTTTATGTTCGTAAATCATAAGTTATTCATTGTAATGTGACATATATGAACATATTTTCTAAATTATATACGAAGATGTATTCATTTATTTTGAAATGTAGATTCATTTGGAAATAGTGAAAAATCAGTCAAATGTTATTTAATATGTTGTAATTATAAACGACTTTTAGGGAATATGAATCAGAGCAAAGAAAATTGAGGAGTCACTCTCTAAGAATTCTATATATACACCCCATAAGAGAATTTTGATCAACTAACCAAGCAAACAATTAGTCACTCAAACACAACCAATACTACAATTATTTTTCTGATGTGATCCTCAGACAGACGTACAAAAAATATGTTTACATGAAAGAAAAATACATTTTTTCCTACATAATGTTTTTTGTGCATCTGTCGAGAATCACATCAGAAAAAGTTGTTATATTCATTGTGTCGCCATAGAGTTATTATAATTATATTACTTGTGAATGCTCACTTTCGACAGGAAGTATACTGCTAGTACTTTATACCAAAATCTGGATAGAGTAGAAATACAAGTAATTTTAATCAGTAGGTAATGAGAAATGTATACTGTTTTCCATAAGTTTTTGCTATTATTGAATTATTATTCACTGGAATTTTTAAGAAAAACTGTCATTGCATATGTAGGAAATTATTATTTACATCGAATGAGATCCAATATTGTGTAAGACATAAAAAACTTTTTAATTGGTATTTTTTAATTTGAAAATATTACAATTTTCCAAATTATCAGGAATGTTAGATTTATTATATCTCATCGCAACAATTATCTAAAATAACAACAAATCGCATTTTTCTATATTATGTATTTCATTTAAATTTGAAATTTAAAAAGTTGATCAATTTTATTAGAGATTTCCAAAATTTAAAACTAATATTAAGAAAGACATATAAATCTAATTGACCGAGAATAAGCCCATTGCATAGCAAGCTTCTCTAAAGGTGTCGTATACAACACCATTAACTGTTCGGATATCTTCATAACTGCGAGGACCTCTAATGATATTCAACAGACAACCCAAATAAAAAATTTCCCCATCATAAATTGAATACTGTTGAAGAATAGTTGGATTTCCTGAATCCTTCACCCGTGGCCTCCACTCATGCAATGTGGCATTCCGAACAAATTGATGAGATAATTCAGTGTAGAGCAGGAATCTGGCAGTTGGGTATATCTTGTTACACTCCATCCAAGCAATAAATTTTGTATTTTTCATTAGTTTGTCCACCTTGCTTTGCTTGGGAGAATTTTTTCTTGGTAGATGAAATTGAATAATTTCTGAAACAATCATAAGAACTTGTTAAAACAGTTAAAAGAAAACAAATAATGTATGATAAGAAGTTATAAAGGTTAAGTCTCTATATTTCTATACCAAGGATTCTTAATAGAATAAAGTTGGACGCAGAAGGATTACCTATTCTGTTCATAGCAATAGAAATGGAGAATATTGAGAATTTTTTTTCACTGGTAACAAATGAAGTTGCAGTTCACAAAAGTATGATGTGAATATATAGATGGAGTAAATAGGGCATACATGAATATACAAATAAGTTAAAGATTGCAATATGCATCTCGTTATAGAAAATAACAACAATATATCAATATCCTTCATATTATATTTTTAAAAATCCAGAATATATGGTTAGATAATTCAATTTATAAATAATTGCTTCATAAAAATATTAGTTCAAAATTATCGGAGCACAATATTATGTTACCATATATTGCGGTTTAAATCAAACTGTAAAGAGGAATATCCAAATTTTTAAACATTTTTTATGAGACAAGTTATGTGAATTAGACGAAGAAGACTTGTGTAAATATTATGTCCATTTATCAAAAGCGAAAGTGAAAAAGTCAAACAGGTTGGTTGAAACAGTATTCCCAAGAAAACATAAAAATGTGGTGACATTGAATATTTTATAACTACCCTATCCTATATAAAATATGATGTAGCTTCTATTATAAAAACACTTATAAAATTTACTCTGCAACCCTAAACGCCTGATAAGAGATTAGACAAAAATGGAGAATCACCAAGAAAAACGTTATGATGAAAATCCACCACCATTGAACATGAGATTTGGTGTGGAAGAAACACCATCACCTCCTCCAATTTCTGAATCAGAGATGGAGCACAATAATATGTGGGAAGAGATGAATGACTTCCTGAGCAAATCAACTACCAAAGCCATCGAGGTTCCTTCTAAGGTAATTTAAACTTTAAATTATTCCGTTTTATTGATGATTTCTGTATTATTGGATGTTCATATCAATATGTAATATCTGCAGCTTGATGAAGAAAAATTGACTGATGATCCAAAGGAACGTTGCAAGAACGGAAAACACGATCTCCATCTAGATCTGGAGATAGGTTTGAAATGTATAGAATGCGGCTTCGTTAAGACAGAAATCCGCTACCTAGATACATCTCCGTGGATAAGCTATTAATATTCCATTAATACATTGATTTGTTTAACTAATATGTTAGAAGTTAACTACATAATATGTTTTTGAATATTGTAGGCACATAAGAATAAACGTGGAATGAGAAACTTTGAAGTTTAGCTAATATTATCTCTGTTTTTTTTGGTACCTTAATTATCTTCAATAAAATAAAAATAGTTATTCTCCCAATTCACTTTCTCATATATGTGTATTGATTCATAAGATTATAAGCTCAACTGCTACATTGATTATAAACATCAAAGTTTTAAAGCATAGGCAACAGAATATAATATTTGACAATCAAGTCCAAAAGTAATGAGAAAAGCTTAACAGTAGTTGTCAGCACTGAAATGCAAACGTCAATCAGAATTAATTTAAAATTACTCTTACACGTAAAGTTGTTAATAGATCAATTGTGAGCATTGGACCCAAAAAAAAAAAATCAATACTGAGCAAACGTTGTCAATTGCGTAAGAAATGTTATAGTTGCATCGCGTGGCATAATTATAAATAAAGTAACTCATAAAGGCTCATAATAAATATAATTTCCAAGTCTACCGTAACAAATTAGTATAGTACTAAATTTGGCATAATATGAAAAATGGCCGTTATAATATTGTAGTTGTATAATTTGGCAATATCTTATTATTATGGAAATGTGAAATATTGGATGCAAGAAAATGTCTATAAAGGAAGTAACATTTCTAAATTCAAATGAATTCTATATATAGATGGTATATGTTATATCTAAAATTATACATATATACATGTAAAATATATAAACAATAAATACAATGATATTAAAGAACATAAGTAAAATGGCAATTAAACATTACCATAAATAAATACTAAATATTTCATTACAAATATACGAAAGTAGGTTCAAATGCATCCCAGTTTTATGGGTAAATATTACATAATGTTTGAACATTTAACAGTTGGTATTAAAATATAAGTAAAGGGATAAAAGTTATGGCCAGCTCGGATCTCCATTGATATCGGTAAAAGGAAGCCTGACAGAAAATAAATTTCAAGTTAACAATTGAAAAAAGAATAAAATAACCCATAAAACTTATTATATACATTAATACCAATTAGAAAATTACCAGTCAAGAAAATCAGAAACCTCTCTTATGTGAGGATTGAAAAGTATTTCAGAATAGTCTCCAGCATTCCTTATATGATATCTCCCTGTAGGATTTAGAAATATAAAGGGCAAAAATGTTAGAAGCCAAATTAACATATAAACAAAGTCGAAATGAATGTTCCCACTCGATTATAAAATTTTATTACTAACTTTCGGAATCATAAGTCAGACGAAACATGCGCAAAGTCAAGATTGTTTCATAAGTACCTATGTCTTCCCACTTCTTCCAGAAATCCAGAGCAGTCTTCCCAATGAGTTCGATATCCATATCATTATAACTAACCAAAAAATTATATTACAACAACATTAACTAAAATATAAATACTCTGAATTATAAGACAAATGATTGGCCTTTACATATATAGATGATAATATAAAATGTCTTACTTCGTGTCCCTTATCTGAATGTCCAATTTGTGAGAAGGTCCAAAAATCATCTCGTATGGGTCATCAATGTCAGTACTTAGATCATCATCAACATAGATGATTACGCCCATCAAATCTACAAAGAAACATTTATATTACACAATATTTGTAACCC